AGCTGCCAAAGGATCTACAAAGCGAAACCATGTTTCGATGTCTATTAAAAGTGGAATTGCTGCAAAAAATGGATAAAGGCATATATATCTGTCTCAAAATTATGCCTGGAGTATGGCATTGGAAAGTCAACTGTATATGACATAAGAAAAAGGAACTTTTTGAATTTTTTTATGGAAGCAACTGGATGGAATTTTTTTATGGAAGAAATGTTTAATAAAGCAAACAAATAAATATTAAGCTTTTTTTTTAAATTTTGATACCCTTTAGAACATAATTGTTCTTTATTTCATATTTTTAATTGTATAATTTCTGCATGCCATCTTACCAGATTTAAAATGATGATCTATTATCCGGAAAAAATCCCAAATCCAGAATCGCCGAAGTCCTGACAAGTCCGGATTTCGGACTTTGTACTATAAAACATGTGGAGAGTCCTCATTGTTAATTTCCTTTTGACACCTAATAAAATATCTTAATTTTGTAGATGCAATAATTTATGAGTATAAATCTGTATGAGCAATCATTTGGCTTCATAGCCACCTTTTTGCTTAGCATACATCTCAAACCGAAATATTGCTGATTTTACACCTACTGAATAAATTATATCCCTGACACAAACCTCATTATTTTTTATTTTTTTTGCTTTTATCACAACATGATTATCAACACATGGCAGCTTGAGCAATGACTCAAGCGGCAGTTATTTCGAAGACTTTTTTTTTTTTTTTTAAATTAACACATTGACTGCCAACTACAAGATATTTTGTAGGTTGTTTGCTTCCCTGGGACGCCAACTACAAGTTATCTCGTTGCATCATTACTTGCCATATTTGTACAGCTACAGGGAAAGTCGTAATATAGCAGTGTAAATATGAATAGATGGCCTTAGAAAAGAGGGTAAAAAAGTCTTGGCAGAAACAGTTACAGAACAACAGAAAATACAATTATACAAAGTTTATTCAAGCAGAATAACATTTTTATGGTTTGTGAAACTATATAAAAGAATCTTCCATGCAGCTGCTGTGGAGTGCTGTCTTTTTTTGCCAGATTGGACAGAAGTAATGTGCTTCGTGACTTTTTTAGCTTTGGTACAAACTTGGCATGGCTTTGTCAGATGCAGTTTTCTCCCCGGCAGGTGGAATGCTTTGTAAGTAATAAAACTCTTGCAATCTTGGGCTTTTTTTTTTAATTATTATTATTATTATAACTGGTTCAGTATCTCATCCAATCAATGTGTCGATGAATGTCTCTCTAAACTTTATAAGTTTTTCATTTTAGAAGTTGATTTTTGAAAATGTTATATACACATAATGTGCACAACATTGTGTGTGTATATATCTCCATAATATATAAATCAAGCTTTTTAGATCATCTAATAGTCTTTCTTAGAGATGTGTAATACAACAGCATTTGATCTGATCGATTCATACATTCCTAAATTGTAGTTCCGTAATTATATTCCGTTTCATCAAAAGTTTTCCATCGCGATTGAACATCTGTACCATTTCAACAACATGAATCTTTGAAATGGTGATGGCATCTTGCTTGTCTTCCCATTTACATGCAGTAAGAGGATCATTTTACTGCCCAAAAAACTCTCCTTTTTTCAGTTTTCGATTCATCACATCTCTGGGATTCCCATTTCTGTTATTTCAAAGTGTTACACACACAGTTTTTTCATGTAGTTAGTAATTTTGTAAGAGCAACAAAACTCGAGATAGTCCTCAAATAAGTATATGATAACATCAATAGCGTGACATAAATTATTGTTAAATTCCTCACATTTTCCACTGTAAACTTTTATTTTCATAACAACACCATTGGTTTTACATAACTTGTACAGCTTAACACTGTATTTGTGCTTTTTATTTTTTAGATGCTCGCTGACATGCAGTCCACCATGCCACAACATCATTGATTCTTCAATACAATACTCTTTTTTTTTTTTTTTTTTTTTTTTTTTTTTTTTTGGCATATCATTTTGGTGCATAATATCACTGAAATGATTTAATATTGGTTGCATCTTGTATAATCTGTCATGAGATGATATTGAGTTATTAACGAAGTATAAATACCACAATAGCATTTGAAATCTATTTCAATACACGATTCTATCATACTTGATCACCAAAACATTGCATTATGCATTTTGTTTCTGCTGCAATAATGTTCTACTGAAGGAAAAGAAATGGGATCCATTTGCAGTAGAAGGAAAATTTAAAAAAAAACTTTCATTTCTGCAGCACTAACAACTTTCCACTGTGAAAAACCTCATAGATTTTTTTTATTTAATTATGTTTTGTAATTTCTTACAGAACATATAAATTAGTTTGCTCAACCAGTTATGCAAAAAATTCGTGAGAAAAAAATAAGTCTGCTAGCATTTGGACTGTCAAATTTGTCGTATCAAACTTCAAAACGGTATTTTCATGGAAAATAAATATTCAGGAGTTTTCTGTCCACTAATTATCATTCCTATTTGGAGTGGTTTCATGGGAAGCATCGTGATTGTCTTGAGGTTCAAGAACCATCTTATCCTTGGGTTCAGAGATGACTTCATCATCACTGTCCTCACTTAAATTCTCAGAAGGTGCATAATCACTGCTGTCGTTACCATCCTCGCTGACAGTCTTGACAAGCTCTGGATCACTTAGATTATTAGCATAGCACTCAATTTCGTTTTCAGTAAGTGGTAATTTCCTATCTGTATTGGGGCATTTATAATTTGATTATAAAATAACACCCACAAGAAAGACACAAATCTGATGTGCTTGGCACTATATCTCTATTATGACTAATGACTTAATACATAGTTTCTAACTCAGCTCTAGTGAAGCAACAGGTTGAAATGTTTCTGTGCATGAATTATCTTGTAGTTGGCTTTCATGAAGAGATTTTTGTTACATATTCCAACTACGATATTAAAATTGGCTTTTTTGACTGGAATTATGAAAAGTTATGTGGCAATCAACGTGGTGATATTAGTAATCGAATGTCTAGGAGCTTTGTAACCTTTTATGTTGACTGCCATATGTTACTTCACTTACAAATTTCAGCTAACTGTATTGTAAAATGTTGAATGTGTTGACGAGGAGAAATTTTCCATATGTGAAAAATAGATTTTGTAAATGATACTCATAGGGCAAAAGATTACATTTATTGCTGTTTAATTGAGAACAAATGATTTGTTATTCAGGTGAACCCATGACCACTGCCAGGGCTGTTGCAGCAGCACCAGGCCACAGAATTTGGGGGAGGCAAAATTTTTAAAATTTAAAGAACTGAGCAACAAAGTGAAGGGATGACTAAATCTTTAGAACTTGGGGAAGGTACCGGAATGCAAAATTTTTATAATAAAGAAAGATGTTTGGCAGCAGAATTTAGGCAAATTTATTTATTTGAGACTCAACCTTAAGCATGTGAAGGCAATAGGCATAAGTGTAAACTTATATAATTCAGGCTTAACTTCATCAGCATATGCAATAGAAGTGAAACAGAATTTAGTGGTACAGCAAGTCCTTAGTCGCTAATCTCATAATATATCACCAGTAGTGTATAACAGATGTTAATTAATCTTTAAATGGTAGCTGTGAATATGAAGGTTTTTAGATCTCACAAACAGAAAGCAAAATTTTCCAATTAATGGAATTAGTGAAGAAACGTGGAGAAGTGGTAATAAATAAAGGTGATATAACAGATGTTTTTCACTTTGATGGCAATGTACCAATCATCAGTCGACTAATAGATGACAGAATCTGTAATAATAATAATAATCAGAAATACTGGTAGAAAAGAAAGTGACAGAGAGGTCTGAGAAGGAACAAAAAAATTCATTTAACAGTTTAGTGGGAATTCTTGACATGGCAATTACAGGACAATGGAACTTTGTAACTGAATAAAAAACTATTTCTATGTATAGAGTTAAAAAGTATTAGCACAAAAAAATGAAGCAACTTTAAACAACTTGCATTGAAAGAAATGTTCAATAAAGCAAAGAAATCATTATCGAGCTGTCTCCCCCCCCCTTTTTTTTTTTAATTTTTCTTTTCTTAAGACCATAAATGCTTCATTATTTCATAAACCACTATTTAATATTTTTAATTTTATAATTTCTACATGCCATCTTACTAGATTTAAACTCATGATCTTGTATTAAAAAAAATCTAAAGTCCGGAATCACTGAAGTCTCGGACTTTGTACTATAGTGATTTTAAATGATTTCCTTGAACCTAATATTCTTGAATCTTATACAAGATGAAATACTGTATATAAGATTATCCTCTGAATCTTCTTTCTTATCTTTACTACTATAAGTATACACCTTCGTTTCAGATTTAATGCCACTTTTCTTACCAGGAAGCGAAGAGGTTAAATTATGCACATTTTCTCTAAATTGTATATGAAATCTCATAAAATCCACATTTTTATGCTAAGAATAGTTAACTTTATAATAAATTATTATAAATATTATTATAAATTATTGTTTGTTATTGCTTAAAAATTTGAAACACTTCAAATAATATAGCTGCTAATCGTTGTGCAACCAGAAATGTCACAATTTAAAAAAAAACATGTTCAAGGATCTTAACATTTATGTTTTATAGATTTTGATTAATAAATTATTAGTATGAATTTAGAAATCAAACAAAAAAAATCAGCATTATATATTTGCAAATATAACTCTGAGTTTTTTTGCTTGAATTCTATTTTCATATTTGTTTGGTGTGTTATGTTAACTTATTAGTATATTTAAGTGTGTTTTAGTAATTTACTGAATTTATTTTATTATAAAAATCTCTGAATCTAAATGTCTAGTTTGATATAGATGTGGAGTCCTACTGTGCATCTTTTAGGTGCATGAAATCCATAGTATTGCATATGACTAATAAACTGTGCTTTTTAATTACCTGTATGAAAAAAAAAAGGTTTGTGTGAAATTACAGTTTTTTATTTCTAGAATTCAGTATCAGAGCTGCAAATTATTATCTTTGTTTTTCAGGAAAGACTACCACAATAGTTGCCTTAGTCAGACTTATGGTAAAAATGGGAATCTCTGTTCTTTTGACTAGTTACACTCATTCTGCGATAGATAATATTCTATTAAAACTGATGGGACATAATGAATTTGTAAGAATTGGACCAAAAGCCCGCATTCATCCAGATATTAAACAGTATGCATTTGAGAATTTAACCAGGGATTTTTCATCTGTAGATGATTTTATTACATTTATGAAAGAAAGGGTAAATAGTTATTTTTTAATATTTATTTTTAATATGAATTACATATTTCTGAATGAAAATGCAAATTAAGCTATTAATACAAAATTTTGTGTATTTTTTTTTTTTCATTATCTAAATTCAGCCGTTTGCTATATAGTATATTAAATCACCTATTAACTAATAGGTGTTAATTATTTTCAGATAAATATATGTACTTAAAATTTGTTTTACTGATAGTCACATATTCAGCAGTATAAAACAAGTTAAGTTTACAAATAAATTTCTTTTTATGGAAAATAGTCTCATGAAACTTATTCTACAGGAAAAATGTTAAATTGCTTTAAGCCAAACTATCAGACGGCTGGTAATTAATGCTACTAATTGCTTTCCTCTGACTTGATTAGTAGAAGGTGAATGATTAATTGTGTGCATGACCATCAAACTGTACTTTAAAGTGTAGGGTTTCGATTCTTTCATAATAATAAATATTATTCACTGGTAATCATCGCTTTGGCAGATCAAAATTTAAAAAATAAGGGGGGGGAATTGCAACAAAGATTATTATGTCGCCTAACATGTTTGTTAATATGCTTGCATATTTTTTTTAAGTTCAGGAAGAAAAATTGATATGAGTTAAATATTAAAATTTCGCTACAGATATTACATGAAGCAAATGTGATTAGATTTCATCAAATAAAATTTTGATAGAAATTAAGAATTATAACACTATGAACTAGAAGTGTGTTAAAAAACAGAAAGTTGGCATTTCTATGCAATGAATTATACATCCAGTACAGTGATATCGCATTATTTTAAAATAGGCAAAAATATGTGTGAAAAGGATCAAAATAAGAAAGTTGAGTTGGAAATAAATGGTAAGAGATAATTTTTCCAGATTGTTCACCACATCTGGAGAACACTAGAGAAAAATTTCTGTAGTAAGATTGCATCTAAACATCAGTCAATATGCATATGTTGAAACTATGATTTTAAGTTACATGTTATCATTAGGGAATGGTAAATTTTGCTTTTGTTTTCAAAATGTAAATCATGAAGCTTATAAACTTTCTCGAATATTGTTTACTTCCATTCATTGAGTAGTTTTGTCAATCATCAGTCTGCAGTTCAAGAACAATTTTTCTTGGCATAGATCTGCAAATTGGACACTGATTAAATAATTTGCTATATACTATATTAAATTATTAAATAAATGTGATATAAATATAGCTGAAAGATCCCAAAGCAACCTGGATCTCAATCTCATAAAACTTTTTGTGATATTTTTTAATAAAATATAACTAAAGAGAAGCTCTGAAATGTAAGGTATTAAAAGCATCTGCATTTAGTTACTGGTACTGAATGAATGTGAAAAGTCAATGCTTACTGTGAAAACTAAAAGTGAACAAACAAATATAACATGTAATGGTCTAATATTCTGTTTTATGAGCACAGTACTCCATAAAGACTGTATAATTTTATTCTTAGCATAAATTTCCCCAATGAAGTTAAGACTTTATTCTAAAACTGAATTATATTCATAGTGTTCTTTACTTGTCAAAATGTAAAATAAATAAATGCGTATTGGTCTGCTAATAAAAAATCGACATTAGCGATTTATGTTAATGTTATTGAAAAAATGCTAAAACTTAATTATATTTATAGTGTTCTTTACTTGTCAAAATGTAAAATAAATAAATATGTATTGGTCCGATAATAAAAAATCTGCATTAGCAATTTATGTTAATCTTATTGAAAAAAATGCTCTAATATTGTGTGTAACACTGAATTAAATAAAAGCTTTTATTAAAGTCCTTAAATAAACAAAAATAAAATGTGGTAAACATGAAATATATTCATTGTATTTTTTCAAAATACATTGGTGTGCAAAAATTAAGGACGAAGTCGAAAAATTAGCATATCAGCTGAACGAAAAGGCAGAGCGGACAGAAAGACCAATCAGGAGATTAAGTAAGGTAAGTAAGGTGATGTATGGTAGCACATGCGCAGATATGCAGGTAGATGTAATGGGGGGGTGTCTGAGTACTATAAAGCATGTTGTCGGTGTAAGATCAGTATTTCCGGCAAAGAGATTGCACGCCGTATAGCAGTTAAAATCATACCGAGTTGCTGCCTCAGCAAGAAATGGCGAATAATCAATCTGTTAGACGACATCTGGATGCTTTTACCCAAGGTCGAATCATTAGGAAGTTGGAGGAAGGCTGCAGTGTGACAAGTGTGGCTGCAGAGTTCGGAATTGCTCACAGCATCATTTCACGACTTTGGAGACAATTTCAAACTACAGGAACAGCTGTCCGGGGGTTTAGTAGTGGTCGTCCACGAGGAACCACACCCGCAGATGACCGGTATATTGCCTTACAGGCCAGAAGAAACAAGTGGCAGACAGTGGGAGAAATCGCTCGACACAGGCGACTGGACGACCGATATCACGTTTTACCGTGGCCAGAAGACTGCACGGTGATGGTCTGTTTGCACGACGCCCAGTACGCTGTGTACCTCTAATGCCTGCCCATCGGAGAAGGCGTTCTCTGTGGTGCCGGGAACACCGGAATTGGAGAGACAATGAATGGGGACGAGTACTCTTTACAGATGAGAGCAGATTCAGTCTGAGTAGCGATTCTCATCGCATACTCATCTGGAGAGAGCGGGGAAGCCGCAATCATCCCTCGAACATCATTGAAAGGGGCAGGTATGGAGGTGGCGGTGTTCTCGTTCGGGAAGGCATCATGCTTGGTAGTCGTACAGACCTTCACATCTTCGACGCAGGTTCAGTCAACGGGACCCGTTATTGTAACGAGATTCTTCTTCCGTATGTGCGTCTTTTTAGAGGCGCTATGGGTCCGCAGTTCCTTTTCATGGACGACAATGCACCATGTCATCGCACAGTAGCTGCCGAACAGCTCTTAGAGAGTGAGGATATTGAACGTATGGATTGGCCGGACGATCTCCGGATCTCAATCCCATCGAACATGTATGGAATTTTCTAGGCAGACACTTGGCAGCTCGTACCTTACCACCAGTAACGATTCCGGAGCTTCGATTGGCGCTGCAAGACGAATGGGCAGCAATGCCTCAACAACTCATTGACACCCTCATTCTCAGCATGGGCAGACGCTGTGAAACCTGCCTAGCAGTAAGGGGAGATCATATCCCCTATTAAAGACCGGATGTTTCTTGCTGGACACCCATCACAGGGATGTTTCGGCCTTCAGTCGCATTGCGCTCCATGCTACTTTTTCAATAAAGCTTCTTTTTATCCCTCTGATTTCTCTTTAGTAAGTGTTGCTTACATTACTCATCTCCTTACGTATTGGGGATCTTACGGTATTAAATGTGTTGATTTGGAAAGCTTTTGTACAAAGTTATATTGAAAAAACCGTCTCGTCCTTAATTTCTGCACACCAGTGTATATCCCATTACAATTGGTTGTTTTGGCATCCACTCAGACCATATCCGAAAGAAAGATTCATTCTTTGTTGCTTTTATTGATTGAACTGCATAAAAGCACAACTGCTACATATCAAGAATAAGAAATGTATTCTTCACAACCATTCCTTGCTTCTAGGGTTAATTAATTTTTCTTCGAAGGGTGAGATCTACGTAGTGCCTCATACAGCCCTCGTAGGTTGTAAGCCATATGAGTCTTTTCTTTGATAGTTGAGATGCGAAAAACTCTGATGTTCCTGCTGCAGCATTTCCTAGCTCATTCCTTGGGGAATTGCTGTAGTGGATAATGATTTAACTTCATGGACATTTTTCACAAACCTTTCATATGGCCACCAATGAATGAACAGTTGTGTAAGATTTGGTTGTAATAAGACACGCTTATTGCTATACTGTTACAACATAGTCTATCCAACTGAAGAATTTGATTATCTTTTTCCACACACACACACACACACACACACAACAAAAAAAAAAAAAAAAAAAAACTGTTACCACTTTTATTGGTTGGGATTGATTCAGACATACCTGCATTTTGCTCTTGTCTCTGAACAGTAGAGTGGTGCATACTGTACTGATGTACCTTTGATGTATTTTTTTGTCATTTTCAAGAACTATATGCTTTTATACTGTCTTCAATTCATGGGGAATCAGTATGCTTCAAAACAGCCAGGTTTTCATGCAAAATTGTTTAAACCTGACTCATACCAATGGCATGGATGAATAAATTTTGGTAGATATCATCTGCTTGTGCTTTTCAATTACATTATGCATTCAGACCACATTCACCTGTGATATCACAGGATGACCATAAAGTTATTCATCATCCATCTTCTGCCATCCATGACAGAACTTACTAAACCAATTAAAAACAGTAGTATAGTGTGGAGCTTCCACTAAACTGCAAACTTGATTCATTTATAGCTTTTGGGAAATGTTAATCTCATTAACCCATTTTTCTTTATACAGCACAAACTGACAGCCAGTTTAGTCACACCCCCAGAGACTTGTGGTGTAGCATCACCCTGCTTCATCTTATATTTTCAGATTGAATAGCTTTCAGCATTGCCTACGTATAACAGTGGTTGTATATTTCACTTAGTGTATTTTCATAACTTCCAACTTTGAAGTATGAAAACCCGGAGCGATGACATCTTTTCAAACAAACTCAAAATTGACTTAAATCTACTTTCAAATGTATTATTCACTTATAATAATATTTAATATGGGATTCTGATATAAAATATTTTCCTATTTAATTATTTACTAAAAAAAATATTGATTATATTACCTCTTAAGACTAATTTTAGTACAATTATCTAAAAAGAGTGAATCCATAGTTCGTAAGTTTAATTCCAAAAATTGTTTTAAAGTAACTTGAAAGTAAATTGTTAAAAATGTTTAACAGGGACTTGAATTAAATCATGAATAACAAAATTCCAGTTGTAAAAAGAAATTAAATTAAAAGCAAGTAATCATTGCCATTGATCGGAAATTAGTTGACTTTTCAAGGGGAACAAACCAACTCTCGTTCAATGAACAATAATTAAATAAATACGAAGGTGTTTTGTCCTTTACTCAAGTAATAAGGTGATGCCAAACTGGTAATTTAAGTTAGGCCAAATATTTCCACGAATTGAAGGGATCAAGAACCAATCCAGAGTACCAAAGAACTCATTCTGATTAAGCATTTTCGCTAATTCAATTTTGAGTGAAAAGCAATTTATGCAGTAAAATTGATAAATTACTTGATTAATTGTCCCCCGACACCCTCGTGTTTCTGCATTTTAATTCAAAACTATTTGTAAAAAATTAATCATTGGAAATTGGCATTATGAAATAGAACTCAAAGTAATTGAAATAAACATTAGAAAATTACGAAATAAAAGAAATATAATGCAATCTTTGCAAAAGCAAATCAAAAAATAAAAATTTTAATTTTAAATATATATAATAAGAAAAGGGAATGTACATGAAGATACAAAAGGCCAGAAAAAGCATTAATTAACTTACGTTCTTTCTGGTGGGAAGTGGGCAAAGTGTTTTCTTCGCGTCTTACTCAGAAGGGTTGTGTTTCCAAAATTCTTTATTGGCAGCTGGGGGCTTTTAATTATTTCAGTCGGCAAAACTTTTGTGAAGTAATTTATGGGAGAGAGAGTGACTAGGAATGCTTGAAGGACGTATGTTGTGGAGTTCTTATTTGAGTGAAACCGTCTGTTAAAATTTTTGAATTACTAGTGAATGGAAATTAATTAATTTCTGGCTATTTGTTGTATCGTAACGAGGAAGAAATTAAGAAAAGGAAAAAGGAGTTTTCACTGTCAAAGAGCTGTTTGGCAGACTAAAGATTATGAAATAGGCCCATTTTTTTTTTAGTAACAGCATAAGTCTGAAGACAATTAGCTTTTTACATTATATACAGCTTTGTAATTACACTGTGTACAAATCCTTCAACTGTTAGTCACCCAACTTATACCACCTTCTCAGGTTTAGGAACAAATTATCATATCCCTATCAGTTAAATGATTTAGAGTGAGTATTTAACGCCTGCTCTTTTAAGGCAATGGTTAATAAATTGATTAGTTATTAGATTATTTTTGAGAATTTTAATAAGGAGCAAAATTTTGCGTTGTAGATCTATCATATCTGTGCAGATATTTTTAATTTGCTGTATTTGATCATATCTGTGCAGATATTTTTAATTCGCTGTATCTTGTTGTATTGTTAATTACTTTTTTGGATATGTTGGAATTCCAATTTATTAATTTGTTAGTATTGAAAATGAAATTTCTTGTTTTGTCAAAAAGTAAAATGTTAATTCAGAAGTCAAACAACAAAAATCAGCGTTATATTTACAAAATTTTCACAGGACTAGTTTCGATGGTTTTACCGAACCACCATCTTCAGCTGCAAAACCGCAAATGAACAAGATAGGATTCCTATTGGATGAAAATTTTGTAAATATAACGCTGATTTTTGTTGTTTGACTTCTGAATTAGTATTTATTCGGCGTGTTATTGTGTCTTAAGTAAAATGTTTTTGTAGTTAATGATTTGAAGATCGAGATAGTCTATGCTATTTTGTGAATTATTAGTTTTTTAAATGTAAGGCAATTTGGATAAATCTCGGAGTATTCAATTTTATTAAAATTATTAATTGTAATAAGATCATCAATATATCTGTAAGTGTGATTGTAGTAATGTAATTCTTGTGGTTGTATATTTTTTTGGAAGTTAAATTCTTTAATAAATAAAAAGACCTCATTGGAAGACCTTTAACTTGTTTAAAAAGTTGATTTTGAAATTTAATGTAGTTATGAAAAAGTGTGCATTTTAGGTAGGTTTTCCATTTGTTAAGATTCATAATTGTGAGCATATCAGGGAAGAGTTTAGGCAGATCTAGTAGACTAGTATAAATTTCTTCTAGAGGAAGTGAGGTATATAAGTTTTCAAAATCATAGCAGTTAATGTTCTGTATGTTAATTGTTTGAATGGCATTAATGACAGGAGTGTTATTATGGATGATCCAGCAATAGTTATGATTATTATTACAATCGTTGAAAATAAATGTACAGATTTTTTAAGCTGAATTGAAAAATAATAGTCTACATTTTTCTTGTAATTATTAGTTCCATTTGCTATAAATCTGAATTTTAATGGTGTTTTATGGAATTTGGGAAGTGCATAGAGGTTAGTAAATCTGTTATAGCTTGGATTTAAAGTAATATTTAGTTTTTTATGAAAAGTTTTATTCTGTTTATGATAGATGTTTTTGTAAGGTTTGCTAATTGATAAGTAGTTGCATTTAAAAGTTCTTTATGAATAGTTTCTTCATAGAATTCTTTTCATATGATGCTAATTTATTGCACATTTTAAGTTATTATTTGCTTTATCTATTTTTGTAATAGTAAAAAGTTTTTTTTTTAATTTTTAATATCTGATGTAAGTTGCGACCAATTCAATGTACACTTGATTGATTTCGGTGGATATGCGTTGAAGAATTTCATCTTTCCATTTTAAAAAGGTATCTATAGGTAAATTCAGTTGATAGCTTGCTTTAACTATAAATCTATTGATGTTGTTTTCAAAAGTCTTGCAACAGTAATTTTTAGTTATGTTTCTGACTGGTCTAAATTTTGCACCATAACTCATTAGTGTTTTTAGTTGATGGTTTTGTAAGATATTCAGATTGCCAGTAATTATGTGCTGGTGATGAGAATCTACGTTAAGTACTGTAAACTAGTGACTTGCAATGTCTGCGAAATTTTCTAACAATGTTGTACTAAGAAAACACTTAAATAGGGAAGGAAAGTTTTTATTTATCAAAGTACTTAAATAATAATTTAAACTATTTGGTGGATAAGCTTAGTAAATGTGCCATACATTGATATACATCAAGCTAATGCTTCATCAGTTAATCTTCATGAAACATTCTATAAATGTCTACATAAATTAAGACAATTCATATCAAATAAAATTTAGTAAGAGAAATTATGTTGAAAATCACTAGGAGTGGAAAACAGAGTTTGCACAATTTATGTTTCATAAATTTGGTAAATTCTGCTTGATGCTAGAAAACATTTTCCGTAGTAAATGTTAAGTAGAAAATTAAAAACTGGCAGATTTGGTGACCTACCAGAAGATTAGAAGATGAAGTGAAAAGCCAGAAGAGTTGGTAGCTCTGTATTTTATATATATATAGCTGTGGACAAAAAGCATTTTGTTTTTTTAATTATTGGTCAAAATAAGAAATCCATTAATTTCTGTGGCAGTTAGATAAAAAAAAAATGCATATCATCAATATGGTCATTATTTAGGTATGATTTTGTTTTTAATTAAAGTAATTAGAAGCTTTTGCTATGACAGAAATTTGTATATACAGTACAAAGTCTGTAATCCGGACTCGTCGGGACTTCGGCGATTCCGCATTAGGGGTTCTTCCGGATTATAGATCATCAAATCTGGTGAGATTGGCATGCAGAAATTATACTGTTAAAAATATGAAACCATAATTTATGAAATAAAAAGCAATTATGATCTAAAGGGTATCAAATTTTACAAAAAAAAAAAAAAGCTTAATATTTATTTGTTTATTTTATTAAACATTTCTTTCAATGCATGCATGCGTAAAGCATACATTATGCACATGCGTAAAGTTTGTGGTTTTGAGGCCCAGATTATAGATCATTCCGAATTACGGACTTTGTACTGTATTTACTTTTGTACAGACTTTGTATTTTAATTGTAAGATTTTCATTATTATAACAAAAAATAATCTCTCCACCCCCCCCTTTTTTTTTATTCTATGCATTTTTCTTCTTAGTTAAAAGCTTGAATTCTAATGTAAATTTTAAGCAAAAATATCAAATCATAAACAAAAAAAATGTCATTTTTATGTATTTAAAATGTGCAATAAATTAGATTATTTATAAATTAATTTGATATTTTTGTGATTTATTATTCTTAATTTTCCATATAGTTAATTTCATTCCTAATAATTGCACTTTCTTTTACTCACATTCTCGATAATATTAAGATATTTTTGTTCCCTTTCCATTATTTGTTCTGTACTATATCTTCTTTGTGATAACTTTTAGTGTTCTGATATAAAAATTTTAAACTTGAAAGTCTTTTTGCTTAATATATGATTTCTTTTAATTTAAAGTCAATTTTTTAAATATAATTTTTCAGATGGTGGTGGCAACAACATGTTTGAGTGTGAACCATAAAATTTTCCAAATCAGAAAGTTTGATGTTTGTATTATAGATGAGGCATCACAAATTAATCAGATTGCTTGTCTCGGACCAATTTTTCATGCAACAAAATTTATTCTTGTCGGAGATGATAAACAGTTACCTCCTCTTGTCATAAATGATAAAGCTCGGTAATATATATAAAAGAAAAAAATTCTTTGCTAGACAATGTTTGAACTATATTATAACATTATAATAAATGTCAAAATACTGAGTTTTATCTGTCTTCCATAGACTTCTAGGGATGCAGGAAAGTTTATTCCAGAGACTACAAAATCCTAAGAATTGTATGGAACTAGTTATACAATACAGAATGAATGAGTAAGTACATAAATTTTGAACATATTGTAACAATTTAAATAATTTAATCAAGGTATAAGGCTATCTTAACTTCTAGTACAATATAATTTTTTAATTAGCATAAAATCTCAATAAACATTAAATTTTATCTAGCAGAATTATGAATACTGGCTTCACTGAAAACAACTTCATGTTATTAACTTTTTGAAGACGGGATGGCCATTATAGCGGCCATAGAATCCCCTCTTTGAAAAGATGGGGTTGTCCACTTTAGTGGCCAAGTCTTTTTCCCCCACTTTCCAGGCTGAAAGAGTGGGGTGAAATGTCAAATTTTACGTCTCTGAGGTTTTAACCACTTATCTCTTTGAAAGGTCTTTGTGCTAAGGATCCAGTTTTCCCAATTTTCCCCTTTTCGTTCTTGTAGCTACACAGCCACAGAATTCGCAATAACTGCGTCTGTAAATTGTATACAGAACTTTGCATTGCTTTGGAATATTGCATATTTTCGTAAGATTTCTAGGATTTTCATTTTTCTCGCAAGATGCCGAAAAGGAAAAGAGGGCTGACTGAAGAAGAAATTCGAAAGCTTCTTCAAGAGCGTGATGAAGAAAACTATGGAGATAGCGAATCCGATTGCGAGCTGGACATAGAAAATGGATCTGAAAGTGAACATGAGGATGTGGAAGGAACATCCTCATGTTCACTTTCAGATCATAGTAATTAACTGATTCGGTAAATTACGGTGATGAACAAACTGATAACGTAGACAAAATCTCTCTTGATTCAAAATTTGAATGGCTTGAGTCAAAACCTGATGACAAGGTAAATGTTTTGAATTTTATTTGAAGAAACAATATAAAAGGCCTTGCTTCTCAAGCTGCAAAAGAAATTGAATTTTTCAAAAATCTTTTCCGGCAAAATATTATTGAAAAAAGTGTCAAAGAAACAAATCGTTATGCGGAACAAATACTAAAAAAAATTCCAGTTTTAACCCTAAATTAAAAACAAAAAAAATATACAGTTGCATAGAAAGATGTTAATGAAAATGAATTGCTAAATTTTTTGACGCTGATATTGCTGATGGGGCATATTCAAAAAGACAAGATAAAAGATTACTGGTCGATAGCGAAATGCTTTAAACCCCTTTTTTATAAACTATGCAAGATCTTGCAATTCTTCGTTTTCTGTACTTGAGATAAAGTCACACCAACGAATACCTAATTATGATCGATTTTGGAAAAAAGGATATATTTGAGCATTGAGAAAAATTCAAGGAATATTGAGCCCCTAAGAACTGGCTGTAGATGAGTAATCGTTCTTTTAAGGGAGATTATTACCATTTCAAATACTCGGTGGAGCGTATTACATATACATATAAATAAATTAATATATAATTGAATATGTATATATAATTATTATATTTCTATATATATGTATGATAATTTAAATATATCTCTATCTTTATAATACATGCATAATCCACACGCAAGCACATATATATAAATGCATATGTGTGTACTTGTAGGTGGTCATATATTTTTTCCCATTAAAGGTGCGCATGCTTTCGCTTTGATATACTGTTTTTATACATATTCTATAAATGTGGACATACTTCTACATGGATATGTAGGATCCTTTCCATAACAAATTAATTCCAAGTACCTGTATACAAGTACAAGCAGTTTTTTCTTATATTCTTATCAGTTCATTTTTAACAGATTTTTCTGTCTTTATTTCCATATATGACCTTCACACATGGGAGTTTACTGTGATGGCATTGTTGTTCAAACAAATCATATGAGCATAAATATAAATTTTTACAATTTCAGTGTGACAACTGGGAATCATAAATATACTAAAACTAGTGAATCAGTTTAAAAGCTTTTGCCTTCATAGAAGATAGGAATTTCTTCATTGTGTTTCTCCCAGGAGTTCATTTCTAGCCATTCGATGACACATTACTGACTGACCTTTGTATCAGTGTCTCAGTTTCATGGTCAAATAATTCTGAAGTAAGTTGTTCAGAATGAATTAGAGCAGCATTTGCGAAATGTCACTGTCCGTTGAACTACGACAATACAAACAGGATGTAAAAGTCGTCATATAATATACAAATAACTGTTCTAAGACAACAGATGTGAATCTCCCTTTGAATTTCTGAACCTTGACCTTTTAACTAATTGAATGCCTTTGCCATTCATTAGACACATATCTCAGCAACTATGCATAATGACCGAGGTGTTAGTGAAATCAATGAATTAGTTGCCAAATTTTCGATAGAAAACGGAAAAAATGGTCAATTCAACTGTGTCAGTATAGGTTTCACTTGACCTGAAAATGAAGTTTTTTTGAGTAACTCACTAATACAGTCAAAAGTCGTTAATTCGGACCCCATATCCGGATGATCATAATCCGGACCTCAAAGCTGAACTTTCTGCGCATGCGTCACGTGACACTGCGCGAGACCTTTACGCTGCGAATTTGCGTGCGCGTGCAAAATATGTTACGATGCTTTTAATGTATAACGGACGGATAAGCTAACTAAATTTCTATTATCGATTTCATTTAATGTTCAGATGAGTGGTTCTTAACTTCGAATGGCGCCGGCTTATTTTGCAGACTGTTAGAGCAATTTTATAAAGTCAGCTGACTTTGATATGTCAAATAGAATTTCCGATTTATATTTGCTAATATGTAATGGATCTACAAAGCGTAAGAATGTTTCGGAGTCCATTAAACAAAAAGCGGAATTGCTGCAAAAAAAATGAATAAAGGCATATCCTTTGTTTATCTAAAGTTTAACGTTTGTTTATCTAAAACTTACGTTGGTATCAAACTTTGTTTTATTTCAGCAATGAATTTACCTTATCTAAAGCAAATGTTTTTATTTTATTGGATTATAATTGTTACTCATTAGTATTTCATCTCGATGTACTCCATTTGATATGATTTAAATCAAATGCCTCGTCTTATAATTCGCTTCGATAGCGACTAAAGTGACAGAGGTTATTGAAAACGAAAATTCGATTGCAGTAGTCGGTTTTCTCACACAGCTTATAGGACGGGACAGTGGAACTTTGTACCTGAACAAGAAATATGTCTGTTTATTTATAGAATAAATAAATGTTTACACAAAAAAACAATCCTTAAACAACTACATGAAGAATGTTTAATAAGTAAACAAATAAATATTAAGCTTTTTTTTTTTTTTTTGTAAATTTTGACCCTTTAGACCATAATTTCTTTATTTCGTAATTACGGTTTTATATTTTTAATTTTATAATTCTGCATGCCATTTTACAGATTAAAAACTGATGATCTATAATCCGGAATCGCCGAAGTCCCGACGAGTCCGGATTAACGACTTTTGACTGTATATCGCAGAATTTAAATTGCACCGTATAAAATATGCCACCATGGTTGATGTCAAAGCTGCTATAAAGACATTCTGGAGATGAAATGAACTGGTTTAGACAACAAAGGAAATAAAAAAATTCACATGCGACGACGATTTCAAACAGGAGAGATTTTTGTTGACTGAGCATCTGAAATTATCTGGAAATTTCTATTAATGTGCTGAATTATGTAGTGTAATAAAATGTAGAATAATATAATACAGTACTGAAGACAAACAACTAACTATAGTGTAACTTTTCCCCGCAGCTGTTTAAAAACTATACATAACAAACAATTTTCCCTTCAATTTGAAAAACTCTTTGCACTATGAAATTACTTTAGTTTTGATACCGTAGTGAACACGTTCCCTTAGTGAGCCAGGGAATTTAGTATAAAAAGACTAAAGGAATTTACTTGTAAATGTGTTTTGAATTATGGGTTTGCATACCAAATAATTTGACTTTTTTAATGACTTGAATTTATTCTATTATTAATACTTGAAATATATTGCTTACTAATTATCAATAAATAGTATAAAACGGTTACATAATTAAATAATCCTTTTTTTTTCTAATTTTAAAACTAAAATATATTATTCTAAAAATAGTTTTGGAACTTCTGTTCTATTTTGCAGATATTTTGGAAAAAAACTGAATGTAAATTAGGAACACTCATGTAATTGCACATTGCCATAGTAACCATCTACAACAAAATAAAGTAATTTTTAATTAAACCAGATATATTCTAATTTGCTGAAAGTTTCCTTCTTAAATAGTATGCTATCAAGCAGATTTTTAACAATTATATAAAATAAAATTTTATTACGCCTATAGAGCATAATTTTAACAGTTCCCCTAAACTTTAATTTTTAATAAATTCTATTAATCATTTATTTTCTAATTATTGCTTGTATAGAAGAAAGTTCAAAGATATAGCTATAGTTAATGATATATACCAAACCAAATTAAAAATTATAAGGAAATTTAACAGTGAAAAAAAGACCAAGATGAAGACTAGATAATTTAAAATTGTCCATGAAATAATCAAATAGTTGAAATAATTTTGTGACACAAATATAAAGATACAACAGAAATAATTACTGTAAGCACTTTCTAAAGACACATAATTTTGTAGCGTAATTTAAAATTCAAACAAATTTTTTATTAAAATTTTTTGTTAAAACGTTCTAATATAAAAATTACATTTTCTTCAATGAAAGTTTATACATTTTCATCTGCGCAACACCCAGTACTCTCATTCCAGAATGATTGCAGTATAAAATTTTCCCTCAATAATGAAAAGCATCTTGAAAGTCTGGTCACTAATCCCTACATTTCCCTTCCTTTTATGACATAAATGCACCCCTCTGAGAATCCATTAAACTACATACAAGGATCTTTGTAGCAAATAGGAAGTGATTTCTTAAAGGGGGGAAAGCATTCGGTTCAAGATTCCCCGTCCTTTCAAGGCTTTTACTGCTACCAAGGCCCCGGCCTCAAAAGGTTAAAGTGACCCCATATATGTAAACTTACCTTCAGTCAGCATTTTAGTGTTCTTTCAATTACAAAAATTATTTCACTGTATGAAGAGAAAGTAAATAAAATTTGCTATAAATGAAATGATGCTGTACTTTATTTCAAAGAGGGGCATGTATCTAATCACAGACTGCAATAGTGCTTTGATATAAGTCATACGAAATTCTTTATGCAGTTAACTGAAGTAAAGTCTCGGAAGTACTTATAATAAAACTAATGCAGTTAGCTAGTCTGTTCTCCAATGCTTTAAATGTTACTGATACTTGAATAATTCATAATTCAAAATATTTTCTTCTTCATACTTGAGAATACATACCAAAGTACTCAAAGAAAATTAGGAAGAAGTGTAATAACATACATCTATTACTATACTATACACTTTATCTCTTTTATCTTAGATTGTATATTTTATATCCTTTAAATTTTTTCTTTAGAAACTTATTTTGATTTTTCTTTAAATCGTGTAGGGAAATAATGAGACTCTGCAATGAATTAACATATAATGGTTCTCTTCAGTGTGCATCAGAGCATGTTGCCCAAGCTGTGCTGGATCTAAGTAGTGAACTGAAAAATACATCAACCTCTTACCCTGCTTGGCTGTTATCTGTATTTGATCACAACTTGAAGAAATCAGTATTCTTCTTAAATACTGATAGTATATATTCTTCTGGAATAAAGAGTACTCAAGGCCAAAGTAGAAATAATACAGAAGTAGACATAATAGTCATTATTTTACAACTTATAATAAAGGTAAGTTTCTGGTTTTTTTTTTTTTTTTTTTTTTTTTTTTTTTTTATGTAAGTTAGAAGTGTGCTTAAAAAGAATTAATGAATAAGTGTTATTTCAATGTACCTTAATTTGTGTCAATTTTTTGTTTACAGCACAAAGTAGCTACTTCTCATACTGGAATAATAGCCCCATACCGAAAGCAGGTAGATTTAATACAATGTAAGTTGAAGGATTTGAATATAGAAGGCATTGAAGTTAATACAGTGGATCAATATCAAGGCAGGGATAAAGATATTATCATAATTTCTTGTGTCAAGAGTAATGATGCGACACAGAATTCTGAAAAGGTAATATTAAATTTTTGTAAGATATTCTTCAGATTTTAAAATATAAATTCCGTAATTGGTCATTATTTCATAAAAGGCCTACCAGCGGCCGAGCGGTAAAGTCGCTGAACACTGGTAGTTCGGTCCGAGGTTCGAATCCCACGAACGGGCTGGCTGCATGGGCATTTTCGTGGTTTTCCCCATGTGTAACGTGTATACGAGCCAGTTTGCCTTAGAAAGTCCTCCACGAAAGGCATCCCTCCCCTTAGGCAGATAGCCCTCGTGTGCTTTGCCATAATTAAATACACCAACACCAACACCATTATTTCATAAAAGGTTGTATATTCATATACTTACATAAAAGCCTTAAGCTTAACTACTAAACATTTATAATATTTCAATAAATTCAGAATGAAAATTGTTAGCTCTTATCTATCATAATTTATAATAATATTTAATTTTGTTATTAATAATAAATTGTTGTAATTTAATTATAATAAATATTTTGTTTGGTTTTCATTACAGATTAGTGGCATACTTGATGATGAAAGGCGACTAAATGTTGCTATTTCAAGAGCAAAGAAAAAATTAATTATTCTAGGGAGCAAAGCTGCATTAGTGTGTTATAAACCATTTGAAAGGTTAATGAAATGCTTAAGGCCAGATCAATTTCTAGATCTATCTTTAACTGATATCAATTTCAATAATTAACACAATTATAGAATAATTTATATAGTGATATTTATAAATTTATACAGTAAAAATATTTTTATACTGAGGTATTTATCAGAGTTGTGTTATTTATTCATTTATTATTTCTTTTGATATTGCACTTGGTTCTCTTCATTATAAAATAAAAAAAACTTCAGATCCCCCCTAAGCTCCCCTGGTATTGCTGATGAACTTTTAAATTTTGATAGGGAGTTTTTATATCTGAAAAACTTATTATGTGTCATTTTAAAATATTTGTATATTTTAATATTATTTATATGTGTGTATGTATATATAAATATATCTATGTATGTGTATATATATTTTTAATCATCATTGGCATTATTTCCTTTCTTGCAAGTTTTATATTTTACCTCATTTTGAAAATGTGAATTCTGAAAAGTTGCTGATACGTGCGATTGCTTCATTTTTACTTTTTTATTATGTTTGCTTCTACTTATGAGAGCTCTGTTAAAATTCTGATTATGAACTTATAAATGGATGCAAAATAGGACTTTGAGATTTATGACAAGTAATCAATCTTTTTGTAGCAATAAACAGAATAGAACATATGTTTTGCCTGTGGCAAGTAAATTTTTAGGCATTCTGTGCAGGGTTATCATAAGAACTAAGCATTAGGAAAACAAGACAAATTTGAATGTGTAAAAAAAAAAACCTACTTAATAATTAAAAAAAAAAAAAAATACTGTGCTGGAGACATGGTTAATAAAACCAAATCAGACAAACTCTGAGCGAGTAATAAAGCTATATGCTTAGCAATACTCTTTTCTCATATAGGAGGCAATACATTTACTTACACTAAGCTTTTGCATACACTTTACCAATCCTCTTTTTGCAGAATATACTTCAGCAACTAACCTGGGCACTGACTTCATGTAGATATAAGAAATTTCTCCTGATATATTACCCCATTCATACTTATAAAATCTTCAGCTTCTCTTCCGTAGTGGCTTGTACTTTCTCACCTGTTTCATGAAAACATGCAACATATTCTAAATGCGACTGGGATTGATTGAATTATGGACATAATCCAGAACATGGAATTCATTTTGATAAAATGGCATAGGAATAGAATGTGCAGTATAAGATCTTGTTGGAAAAGCAAATCTACCTGTGAGCAAACACAAGGTACTGAATGGGGCAAATGCTATTATAACATTATCTGACACTGCTTTGCATTGATAGTTCCATTATATGAAAGAAAAGTGGTAATGCCAAAAAAATATAAAGCACACCTATGCTCGCAAAATGTCTCAAAACTTTTTTTTTTTTTTTTTTTTTTTTTTGCTTCACACAGTTTTGGGTAAATTCTTCATTTGGACAATTTATGACTTTTGGAACTGAGAATGTCAACTCATCAGACTCAATCATTTTTTGCAATCCACTTTCTGTTCAGTTCCTTCTCTGCAGAAGCTTCATGCAAAAATGCTTCTTTTGTTGAACTGATGACTATATAAACTTTCATTTTCTCTTGTGGTCCATGATACATAATTTCTTACCTAACGCTCATCAAGATGCAGGCACTACATACACTTATAGTATATTTCTGTAGCTTTATTGCAAGTACCAGCTTGTTTTTTCTATGAAGTGGTTTTTGAAGGCCTACTATTTTTGTTTCCAATTACTTTCAGAGAAATAGACACCAAGGAACCAGTTTATTGCAATATCTGAAATATTAATTTTCCCTATAGTTTTTCTGGTTGTTTTTAAATTTTCTCAGATATCTACAGTCCTGATCTCTGCCTTTCCATTTTTCAAGCTGCTAACAATACAAAGAAGGCACCCAATGTTATACTACCCTTCTTCACATGTTCTTGATTGTAAAAATGACGAAGCAACAAAAATTTGCTTATATAGTCAAGTTGAAATTGTCAATTGCTGACTATGCATATATATATATCACTTACTAATTTTAGGGTAATAAAACTTCCAGGCATATCACAATTGAAATCTATGTCTCATATGAAATGCTACCATTAATAATTAGATCTTTTAGATCTCCTTTGAGAAAAAAAATAACAGAAAACATTGAGTGGATTTTTTTGTTGTTGTTGAAACTATATCACACATTTCAGCACTACATTGTCACATTTTGCATGTTTCTTTCCCCACATTTTTGGCTTGGTACTAGATAAACAAAACATTTCAGAACAGCAACAAGGAATATTCTTTAATTTCACACTGCCTACATTATTTTTTCTTTTTGTGAATAAGTTTTCAGCAGTTTCTAGAATTTTGCTGCATCCATCGATTTTAACATTAGGATGAAATAGGAAGAAAATTACACATATCTCTCTTACATTTTTATTCTAATGCACCCTTGTGTTGTGATTCATTTGAAACAAGCTTTAGTTTGCAAAACTCAATAGATGTTAACTCCTATTATCAAAAAAAAAAAAAATTGTATGGTTGTAACAAAAGGAACGCACAATTTAAAGAACCAATTTTTTTGTTCCTGCCATGAATGAAGGCTAGCTAATCATTTTGACTTCGAGTCCCATTTAAATTTCATGAGGTGAATATTTGAATGCAATCTTCCTTTGTAAAGAATACCTCTTTCTTGGTGAAGTGGGATAAACACTTTGCTCTTTTAGTAGAATTCCTCCCCCCCCCCTTTTTCATGTTGAGACTCACTACAACATAATGTTAAATAAAGAGTAACTATTGTTACAACTTGAGGGAGTTTCCCCCTACACTAGATGTTGCCATTCTCAGTGCCTTACTAGTGTATTTAAATGTGCACTCATATTGCACTTTTTCATCTGTAAAAATTCCAGGTCATTGAATCCACTGCAATAAAAAAGTGTCCATCCTGGAAAGAAGTTAAATCAATTATTTGACTCCTCATGCCGAGGAAATATGTTAAAATTTTAGAAAAAGTGTGAAGCAGAAAAGTACTGAATTTTTATAATATCGGGTTTTAATGAAAGTTTCCCACCACAGCAAATTTCTGCACAAACAGTTTTTGTTGGCATATTTAATCATATTTTGTCAAGCGATTTTTTGGCATTTGAAACGAAGAGTCTTGCTTTAGAACACTGTATTGTGAAATTTCTAAGAAAATATCACTATCAAAGTACAAAGTGTCCGAAATGGAACTATCACTCTACCAGATTAGAACCATCATTTACTTCCAGTTCTGTTCCAAAAAGTCAGCTACAGAATGTCACCAAACCATGTGTACAGCCTTAGGTACTAATGTTGTATCATATGACACTGTGAAGGTTTGGTACCGAAAATTCAAAAAACAAGGACTATGACATTCAAGAAGCAGAGCACTTTGGCCGATCTACTGATGTTGATGAGGCCAGCCTGCAAGAACTTGTGGAAAAACATCAGTATGCAACCACTTGAAAGCTTGCTAAGGAGTTTGACGTTAGTGCCATGTCTATTAGCATGCTATGCTTCGCATAAACTTGATGTATAAGTTTAATTGTTGGGTACCGCAGGAGCTGACTCAAGCAGATAAGCACAGACGTGTGTTCAAGCCTGCACTAATCTGCTTGACTATAAATACAAGGACAAAATTCTGGACCGGATCATCACTTGTAATGAAAATTGCATTTACTTCAACAACACAGGCTGAAAAAGATATTGGTGTGCACGTGGTGAGCCTGTCTGCAGTGTCACAAAGTGCAATTTGACTAACAAAAAGATTACGGTTTGTATCTGTTGGGATTGCTGTAGTATTATCGACAGAGAGTATATGGAAAAGAGCAGAACCCTCGACAATAAAGTGTACAGCGAGATGCTAGTCTGTGTTGATGCTGCTATCAAGGAAAAATGTCAACTGAGTTCCAGCACAAAAAGGTAATGTTCCATGAAGATAATGCAAGACCACATGTGTCTGCATTCACTGGCTGGACTCATATGGGATCCTTTGCCACACCCACCATATAGCCCCGACATTGCTACTTAGAACTAACTACCTTTTTCACACCTGCAGCTACATCTTGTTGGTGCTATCGTCCATTCTGCACAGGATGTCCAAAATTAGGTTGATCTGTTTTTAGACTTGCAGCCACCAAGTTTCTGGGCTGAAGACTTCGAAAAACTGCCAAATTGTTGGCAGAAAATCATAGACTTGGATGATGATTACTACCTGCATTAAAGGTACAGCTTTAATGTTTTTTCTTTCCCCCTCTAACTTTATGAAGAACGTTTTTGGGTGGAAAACTTTCATTAAAACCGGATATTATATAAAATGCAAACTTAATTTCTTGCACCAATACTCTCCATTCTAATTTTCTGAAGCATGTTTTTAAATTTTTCATGCTGCTGTAATACCCTAAATAGTGAATAAACTCTTAAGATAATGAATACAGCATTTGATTTTAGATAGATTCCCCCTCCCCTTTTTTTAATCTGAACAAAAGATTAAAAGATAATTTTGCTTATAGACATCAATAAATTTCTTTTGCTAATCTATTAATGTGTTACTCGACTTATTCCTTAGACTTACTTAAGTCTGAATTTGTGGATTTTTGATTTATGTAGATTGGAGAGATATTACTATCATTGAAGGTAGATAAGCCGCCCTGACGTATACACCGCACACGTGATAATTGACTTTAAAAAATGAAAGTTCGTCGGATAAGCCACATCGGCATAAACACCAAACATTCTGAAATATGGCACTTAATATTCATTTATTCGGTAATTCCGTGCCATATTGATGTAATCATCATTGATAGCATTTTATAGCATTTACAACATAAATATAATCAGTAATGTATAAATAAATAAGGAAGAAACTTCCTACCTTGAACTTGCCAGAAACAAATTCTGATGATTTCTAATAGGTATTATTTTTACTGGTAAACTTTATCACCATAATTTACCATATTATGAAAAAGAATATGTAAATTAGATAAACAGAATTTTTTAATTAAACTCCATTTATTTATCCAAAACCATCAAAATCCAACTCATCGATGTCAGAATTAAATAAATTTAACAAATGACCATCAAAATTAATTTCATTGTTCTGTTCTAAAAATCGCCTTTTTTAACATCGCTATCTTCACTTTCATTTTCTTCTTTGGTGATTTCTAATTTAACGAAAACTAATACGATCGTATCAGCTCAGACTGATTTCCATGCTTTTCGACTTGTAAGGCAACCTCCTCATATGAAGCTTTTCTCATTTGTCTCAAACTTGTGAAGGAATGGAGTCCACTTTGCATCCATTCTTCCCACTGCTTTCATAGTTCATGCTTGAAAATTCTATTAATAGTGAAATCCAGCAGCTGTAAAATTTTTGTAAGCCCACCTGGTATCACTAAGACATCGGTGCTAAGTTTTTTGCTTCGGATCTTACCATATCCTCTAAATGAGATGGCGCTGAATTCAGAACAATAGGTCCTCGGAGTTGGAAAAGAGCACCTTTCCTTTTTCGATAAATTTCTCTCAGCGAAAACAACATCACTTCTTCGCACATCCATCCTTTTCCATTGGCACAAATAATAACTCCTTTAGGGAAGTTTCCTTTCGGAATTGTTTTACTTTTGAAAATTATCAAAGGGGATAATTTCTCTCCATTGGTGGCACAACCCAAAACACAAGTAAAAGAAGTCTTATCATTCCTGTTTGTTAACACTAAAATAGTTTTTCAGCTATCGAATGAACAGTTCTGCTCGGGGGACAGTCAAAAGTAACGGGCACTTCATCAATATCAATTATTTGCCCTCTTTTCAAATTTTGTTTTTTAACATTCTTATATGTGTACTCCAAAAAAGCTATCTTTTTTTCAAGCCAGTTCACGAGAAGCTTTTGTCCAACTGCTGTTTTGGTCCTGACAGATAATTTCTTTACCTGAAACCAATTAGGGCCTCCAACAAAATTTTTAATGCCCATTTGTTGAGCAATTACTTTCACTTGAGGACGAATTCTAACTGTTGATACTGATAATCCACTTTCTCTCTGCTCTATTGTCTATTTCTCTGAATTGTCTTCCAAAACAGGCCAAGCTATGACACTAGTTCGACAAGATCTTTTATTCTTAGGCATTTTTTCTAATTCTTTTTGTTTGGACTTCCAGTACTGAATGCATCGCTTGTCAACTTGAAATTCTTTAGCCGCAGCGCAATTTCCAATTTCGGTCGCTTTCTTCACTACTGAAAGCTTAAAAGCAGCTGTATAACTTTTTCTTTGAGTAGGAGCCATAGTAGTAATAATATTTTTAAAGCGTTAATGATGAGATACACAAAAAGCAAGCTACAGTAAAACCACGTAAGAATGAACCCAGCACTTGGCAAGTAAACATAGCTATTTCCATTAAAAAAAAGAGTCATAGGAAAACGCGGGCAAAACTATGGAGTTTAGCAGAAAGTACATACATTATGGTGTCTTTACACAGAGCACCGTCTACCTTAGTTAGGAGAGTTTGAACTTATTGCACTGCCTCAATGCAATCTGAGGTTGCATTGAGGAATTCTAACTTAACTGTTTCGCTTGTGCATAACTTACAATCTGAACTGGCCAAATGTTATTATACCAAATGCTATTGCCCTGTATTATATTTAAAGAAGTTAAATGATAAAGAATCTGCATGAATATATGTATGTTTCTCACACTGTGAAAAAAATGACAGTAAGAAGAGAATGAAATTTTGAGTAACATAGTCCTCCACCCAAACATGGGAACCTGGAAGCCCGAATCTGAAATTTGTTTTATTATCTATTTCATATTTTGTAAAACTTTTAACAAATTTTTGATTAAAAAACTCAACAATTTCAAAGCGATCAGTGGCAACACTGTGGGGAATAAAACATTTTTATCTCCAGTGCACGAGACATTCTATTGAAAATTATAAACATATGCTTTTTTAAAATATTTTTAGCCCAAATGGGCATTATATTTAAAAAAATAAAATCTGAAAGCTTTTTTCATTTTTATTTTTAAATATAATAGCTAAGGATTGTCCAATGACAGGAAAAATTAGTCCTTAATAATGAGGCTTTCTCAAGTTTTTTATTACCAGAGAGGGAACAAGCAATGCCAGAAATTAAGTTTTTGTAAATTAATTTAGTAATTTTTAATTTGTAATATTAATTTAGCATTGAAAATAGCTAAGTTTTTATCTGTTACAGAAAATATAAAGCTAAATATTTATGAATAAATTTCTGAAACTTCCTTAAAATTATCAGTTTTTATTAATTGATTTTTAATAAAAGATATTAAAATAAGCATCAATCAAGTTTCTACATTTACTAATTGAGTATTAAAAATCCAAATTTTCATTTATTATATTAAAGGTGAAGCTAAATAATTATAAATAAATTTCTTAATAATCAATATTTATTTCTTTCATGTGTGTGTTGTATATATATATACAGTCAAAAGTCGTTAATCCGGACTCGTCGGGACTTCGGCGATTCCGGATTATCGATTTTTCCAGATTATAGTCATCAGTTTAAATCTCGTAAGATGGCATGCAGAAATTCTAAAATTAAAAATATGAAACCGTAATTTATGAAATAAAGAACAATTATGATCTAAAGGGTATCAAAATTTGCAAAAAGAAAAAGCTTAATATTTATTTGTTTACTTTATTAAACATTTCTTTCAATGTAAGTTGTTTAAGTTTTGCTTCGTTTCATGTGATAATACTTTCTCTTTAATTCTATTAAACAGACATAATTTCTTGTTCAGTTACAAAGTTCCACTGTTCAAGTCCTATAATTGCTGTGTCAAGAACACCGACTAATTTGTCAATCGAAATGTTTTCGTTTTCAATAACCTCTGTTGCTTTTCTTCGCTATCGGAAGCGAATTATAATGGCGAGAAACTTGTTTTAAATCATATCAAAGACGGAGCATATCGAGATGAAATACTACATTTGGTAAGGAATTATAAGCCAAATAAAATAAAAACATCTGCGATGAAGATAAGGATAGTGCTGACAATCAACTTCCAATTCATTACGCGCCCGCCGATTGCGTTCCCCCCGCCGAGCAGCGTGAAATTGATAAAACAGATTTCGGATTTCAAAAAAACATACTTTCGCTTTAGATCCTTTACATATTAACAAATATATATCGGAAATTCTATTTGATATAATCGAAAGTTTAAGCTTACTTTTATAAAATTGCTCTTACAGTCTGCAAAAAATTATAAGCCGGATCCAATTCGAAAATTAAGGAACAACGCAATCATGAACATTAACTGAAATAGATAATTAGATAATTTT